TGGCTGTGTAGCACCAGTGCACATATAAGCTTTCAACAATCCAACTTTTAGAACAGAGCGGTATCCCCAGCTTCAGCAGGGCCTGGTGCCTGCAAGGCCTAATCTCAGAGGGCTGTCAGGGTGAAGGGGCTCTCCCCGCTCCTGCAAACATTTTAGGCTAGCGTTTTGTCACTGCCCTAGCTCCATCTGCTGTCTTTCAAAATTTTATTTAAATCTTTGCATTCTCCTTTTGCCCTCTGTCCTCTCAGGTTTATACCTTTTACTACTATTTTTTATCTGTCTGTCTTTTTACTTAATATGTATTTTTTTTTTACTGGGTCTTGGAAAGGAGTAGCAATGAACATATGGTCAATCCGCCATAAATAATCAGCACTAAGAATTACATTTTCAAAGAATAATGTTTAATATGTTTTTAAAAACTGCCTATAATGTTAATGGCTTTTAATGTGGATTTGTTGGTGATTCAAAATTTCAGCATTTATGAGCAATCCTTCAGGATAAAATTGGCAATAAGCAGTCACTTGGTTGAGAATTTAATGTTGTACAATGGATAAAATAAGCATAAACAGTACATAAAACAAGAGTCTTCATTTAATGCTCTTGCCCTTTTTTGGGATACTCTCCTGGGTGCTGTACCACCACTCTCCCAGGGATTGTCCTATCCTTGAGCAAGCTTTCTTAATCTTCCTTGCTAACTTCCCTTCCTGTATACCCACCCCAAGGTCTTCTACACACGCCTCTCCATTGCTTTAATTGCAACCTCAGTGCTGAGGACTTCCAAATACCTCTAACGCAGATCTCTTTCCTAAGCTTCTCTGTACCTTCTATTTTCCCAGTGGTCATGTGCCTCCTCACTGTTTTGGGGGACTAGCATGGGAGATCCTATGAGACTGGCTCAGGCCTTTTATTTTGATTAAAATATTTTATTATGTATATTTTGAATAGGCAATACACTCAACTCCAAATTCAAAAGATATAAAAGGGTATATTGTGACATTTCCACCCCATCTCCTGTCCCTCGGCTACCTGTAAGTTCCCCTCCTGGGAGGTAATCAATGTTATTGGTTTCCTATGTTTCTGGTATCTTTCTAGAGATATTTTATGCATACACAAGTTAATACAGTTATATATGCCCCTCCTCCATTCTCCACTTTACTTTCAAATGTTTCAAAAGGCCCAGCACGAGTATGGCTGGAACTAAGACTTTCACCATCAATATTTCAAATATTGAACTTTTTTTTTCTATCAAAACATCCTTTAGGCATTCCCAAACATGGAATAAGGGGAAAAGACTGATAATGATGAGTTTTCCTGCGCCAACAATGCCTGGGAATCAGTAGCAAGTTTCATGCTGATCCATTGCTCTGGTAGGCACAGAGAGACTCACAAGGGAGGGGATACTGATGGATAGTGCTGGCAGAACTTAAGAAATATCTGCACTTGAATCTTTTCTCACTTTCTCCAGGATTCCAGCTTCCTTGCTACTAGCCAACTTTACTGACTTTTTCTTGAAGTGACAATCTGGAGATATGAAAATATTCCCAAATAACTTAAATACTCAAAAAGTCTCACAGAAACAGAGAGAAAAAGATTCAAGTTGCACGCAGTTGGCCCAGGCATGCTGTGAGCTACTACAGAGAGCTCTGTTTTACACACATTGGAAAGAAACGAAAGCTATTCAGTGAGGAATCAATATTGGTTCAGAATCTTCCTGTGACACTCTTCATCTGAGAACAGACCTCACCCACTCTGGCACAGGGGTAGGCACACGACCAAAGCTGGACCAGACCACTGGGACCAGCCTAAGGAATGGGTAATTGGCCACTGAGTCCTTCGCCTAGGATTTCCCAAACTCAAGCTGGAAGAACCAGCATTTCCTGCTGGTTATGGAGAGGTTAGGATACGTGCCCAGAGCGGCCCATAGCCATGTCCCCTGCTACGTGAGTCGCCAATCTGCCGTGGGGCCTCTGACCCGCAAGAAAGAGAGGCGAAGGTTTGGGGTTCTATTGATGGGATCCAAATCTTCATTCGTGTTCATAAGCCTGGCTCCACTCACATCCTTCTCAGGTTGGTTACATGCCCTGACCGACTTCTTCCCATTTGCTTAAGCTAGCTGAAAATAAGCCTGCAACAAAATATATCCTATGTAGCTCCAGCTCCGTATATCTAAGTGCATACTAGGTATCTCCCTCTGCATGTTCCTCCGTACTTCAAACTCATATGCCTAGTACAATGCATCTTTCCTCCTTTTCCCACTCCGCCTACCCCATTTCCTGTATTCTCTCATCCTGATTATCAAGTTAATATCTACCCAGCTGCCTAAGCCAGAGATCTAGAGCTCTACTAGCCTCCCTTCCTACTTAATCCCCAGCTCTCAAGATCTAATTGGTTTCTAAGTCCTATTCCTTTTCTTAAATATTTCTCCTATCCGTTACCCTATCTTCTGCTACCTTTGAGACCCCTCTGCTGCTTTTTTCTCCTTCCCCCACTGTACTGAAAAGGCCAAATCTCAGGGACCACCAGAAGCTGAAGCTATAAAGGCAGAGGTGATGACAAGGGGAATGTACAAACTCTTGAGTAAACAGAAAATGGGTAAGCAGAAGCTATGAGTAACTCAAAACTACTGGGCATATTGAATGGAGGGTAAAGTAATTGTCCGGAGTGATAGAAACAAAAAGAGGAATGAAATCACCATAATGGCTGGAGACAAACTCTTGCTGTTGAGGAGGCAACAAACTCCTACTACAACTGCCCTGAACCAGGCCTGCTTTCCAATTCCTAAATTATGTCTACTCCAGCCTGTATGAAGCATGCGTGGATGAGAGTCCATTTGTTCCTGTGAGATTTCTGTGTTCTTATCCCTATTACCTTAACCCACAAACACTATATAGTTTAGCCTTATTAATTAGTTCCCCCAACCATGTGATGCTCTGCCATATCTTGTTTATGTGCATACACTATTTCTTCCAACTGAAACAATTCTTCTCATCTCCCAAATATCCCTAACTTCTTCACCTGGCTACCACTTACTCATCTTTTATGATTGAGCTCAGGCTCCTCTAAGCAGCTTTCTATAACCCAACCAGGTTAGATACTCTTCCTTTACTCCAAACAAATTTAATGGTACTGCACATTGGAATTCTGTGTCTCCACAACTAGAATATGAGCTTCTTTTGAGAGCAGAGATGCTATTTTGCTCTCCTTTGTATCCTCAGCGCCTGACCCCAGCAGATACTTAGTGAATGCCATGGTTTTTGCTAAAGCTCAGTTGCCTCGACTCTTTCAAGAACCAGTAAGTTTAACAGTCTTCCATCATCACCCCTCTTCCAATAGACCCACTTGCAGCTTGAAGTGTGCCAGGCTATTTAAAAAGACTATGATATGTAATCATGGCTTTGTGCATATTTCCTCAGTTCAGGAATTCAGTTCAGAATCCTCATCCCTGTCCCCCAACTCCCTCCAAGAAGGGAAGTACGAAGACCAGAGTTAAGGGTTATTGCAGTTGTCCCGGCAAGAGAGGATGATGGCCTGGCCTAAGGAGTACTGGCGCAGTAAGAGGTAGTGATCAATTCTAGAGGTAAAATAGTTAACTACTTGGTGAAGAATTGGATGTGGGATGATGGAGGGGGGATATCAAAGATGACTACTGGGTTTTCTGGTTTAGTCAACTGAATGGTGCTTTTATTCAAAGAGAGAGGAAAGAATGGAGGAGAAGCAAGTTAAGAGGTTAACTAAACATTCACATATCATATAATCAGATTTCTTCTTGTCTGAATTTCGCTGCTGTGTGTTGTACTTAGGGAATGGGAGTACTGATTTTGTCTTTATTGGTGGTGGTGTTGGGGAAGACACTTACAGTTGTTATTATTTTTTAATTTACCACTTTAACCATTTTTAAGTGTACCATTCCGTGGCATTAAGTACATTTACACTGTTCTATACAGTCATGACCACCACCCATCTCCAGAACTTTTTTCATCTTCTCAAACTGAAATTCCTTACCCACTAAACCATAACTCTCCATTTCTCCCTCCCCCAAGTCCTTGGCATCTACTATTCTACTTTCTGTTTCTATGAATTTGACTACTTTAGGTATGTCATAAAAGTGGAATGATATAGTATTTGTCCTTTGGTGACTGGCTTAAATCACTTAGCATAATGTCTTCAAATTTCACCCATATTCTAGTACATATTAGAATTTCCTTCCTTTTCAAGGCTGAATAATTTTCCATTGTACGTCTATACAACATTTTATTTATCCATTCATCCTTCAATGTACTCTTAGGTTGTTTCCACCTTTTTGGCTATTGTGAATAATGCGGCCATGAACCTTGGTGTACAAATATCTGTTCAAGTCCTTGCTTTTAATTCTTTCGGGTATATACCCAGAAGTGGAATTGCTGGATCATATGGTAATTCTATGTTTAATTTTTTGAGGAACCACTATACTGTTTTCCATAGCAGCTGCACCATTTTACATTCTCAACAGTAATGTACAAGGGTTCCAATTTCTCCATATTCTCCTCCAACACTTTTCTGTTTTTGCTTTTTTTTGATACTAGTTATCCTAACTGGTGTGAAGTAGTATCTCATTGTGATCTTAATTTGCATGTCCCTAAAGATTAGTGATGTTGAACATCTTTTCATGTGCTTATTGGCCATTTATATATCTTCTCTGGAGAACTGTCTATTCGATTCCCTTGCCCATTTTTGGATTGGGTGGTTTGTTTTGTTTTCTTGTTGTTGAGTTCACAGTTATTTTGTAATGTGGAATGGTTTCAGGAATATAACAGGTTTCCAGGGCATGAGAATAAGTGTTTAGAATAATCTGAAAGGGGTAGGGACTTTGGGAAAAGGGCCAGAAAGAGGTGAGGATCTCAAAGAAAGTTGACCTCGCTTGAGTTATATACCTGACTTTTAGTATATAATTCATATATATGCTGATGACTATCTATATAGTAAAGCCTACACTTGGAAAGTAAGTTGGTTATACTAATGGATTACAGAAATAATTATTTATTCTATAATGCCTTTAACTGGGAATTTAATACTTTTTGATTAGCAAAAATTGATGTGCATAAATCATTTGTGGGATATCATTATAAGAAAATACACGTGATACAGAGCTTTAGAATTAATACATAATCATGACATAATTGATAGAAACATGAAAACAAAGCTCTTATCTACAGATGTAGACAAAGGTTGTAGAAAAGGAAGGATTACATAGAAGTCTGTGCTGCTAACTGAAGCAGCTAGAGAAAATAGTACATGGGCCAATGGTAATAGATAACTAATCTCCAAGAATAATATCCACTTTAAATTACATAAATTTTACTATTTTTAATGTAACCATTTTACATAATCTATTGAAACTGGATACAATGCTGGATTCTGAATTTTTGGTAAAATGTTGTAAGACCTAGGTTAAATAAATAACCTGTATGATAAATGTGAAATGTGATTTATATATTTTATAATAAATATACATCATTTTAAAGTGTATCTAGGGTTATTTTCAATGCTTTATACTCTATATTCTCTGTAAATAATTAATAGTTAAGAAAACATACCATTCTCTAAAAACAAAACAACAAAATCATCCATTAATCTGACACTAAAGATTAGCTTTCCATTTCTTGTCAGGATCCATGTTGCTAACTGTGGAAAGAAAATTAGAGAGTAAAAATTTAACAACTGATAAGCAAATTCCCTGGATTTTAAGCTATCTTGTGCCTAGAAAAGGCATTCATTCCTAAAATAATTTTGTTGCTCAATTCAGAGTTGGTATGTTTTTTGTACGTGTAAAAACATTGCTGAAGCTTCTACACAAAATTCAATCTTTGAACCTCTCAATTTTAAGGATCAAACTTCTACAAGGATTATTAATTTCATGAATTAATCTAACACTAGTAAACAATTATAGAATTCCTGCTGGAATATCTTTGCGTTTACTACTTTTACTACTGCTAAAACCTTTGGCTGTTCTCGAATCTTCTACGTGTAAAATTCTTCGTGGCCTTGTGGTCTGGGAGAAGAGAAGCTATCCTCCTGCTTTTGACCATCATTTTGGAGGGTGAGGACTGGAACCCTAAACAAGATTCTAATTCCTGTGGGAGCTTTTGGTTCCAATTTGTGGTCCACCTGCCTTTTGCTACTACTCTCTAATTTTCTAATTTTAGTGCCTGTCTCTCCAACTTACTGTGATATTCAAAGGAGAACTCTGATGGGTGTTATTTTTCCTAAAAGGAAACTAGTTTGTTTGTAAAAAACATATTGTAAATGCTGGTAATAAAAGAATTAAAATTTGGAAGTATACTTACATATCTTGCCTTCTTTTTCTAATTTTTTCAAATGAAGCAAGAGATTACGTTCAGCCATTTTATATAAATGCTCAGGAGTATTCTAAAAGAAACACCAGAGTGAAAAAAAAATTTCTTTTTAAAAAAAGAACAGAGTTAATCCTTTTGAAACTTTTAAAGAAAAAATGCAACAGAAGAGAAAATTTTAGCTTAAATACATTTTTATATAGTAATAACCAAAACAATTTCACTGTGTACATGTGTTGCTTTAGGCCACTATATTCTTATACACATTCCTATGGATAAAACAGACTGTAAGCTCCATAAAGATAGCAGAAGTATGTTTTGTTCACTACTGAATACCCAGTGCTTAGCATAACATCACACAGTAGAAACTCAGTATTTTATGAATGAATAAATAAATGCAAAAATTAATCTAGATACTTTTGATGATGCTACAGACAGCTGGCTCTGTGGTTTATTTATTAGGTTACACGATGATATCTCTGCACATTTCTCTTGGTTATCTCACCTCTCTTCTCATTTGGTTTTCATCCTGGATAGTCTTCCTTGGACTTCTCTTAAACATTGATGTTTACAGTGAGTTGTAGCACTGACTCTCCTCTTTCTAGTCAACCAACTTGCCATAGCAATGTCACGCATTAATGGTTCCAAATATAAGCCTCCAAACCTAAACTCTCCCTTAAGCTTCAGAACCATACACTCTTATCGATCAGTGTGATCTTCTAGATCGCATTCTGTGACTCCCCTGCCTAAGATCCTTGAGTGGTCACTCCCAGATTATTGGCTTATTCCCCAGTTTTGTAGAATGGCAGTGAAGGCTTCCCATGATCTGACCATGCCTGCCCTTCCTGCCCATACACATATGCATCTTGTGCTCCAGTCACATGCAGTTTCTTTGTGGGTGTCCAAACACAAACAATGCTCTTTCATCACTCTCAGCGTTTGAACACATCTTTCGCTCCATATGAGTGACTTCCTTTCTCCTGTTCTCTGGCCTGGGAAACGCTGGCTCCTTCTTCCAGATTCAATTAAATGATTAAGTTTCTGAAGCTTTTCCAGACAAACCTCATTTCCCTGCATCTTCATCAGGTAGAATTTATTCCTCTTTCCTTTATGCCCTGACATACTGTGTATAGGCCTTGGAGGAAGCTTGGTGTGATTGAAAAAAACAAGATCTGAATATCTGACACCTGACATTTGAGTATATGACATCTGATAGTTGCATGCCTTTGGAAAAGTTACTTAGCTCATACATTCTGAGTCTGTTTTTCAATCTATTAAATTGGAATAAGAGTATCTTTGTGCAATGAAAATTTGAGGTATTTGTATTAAGTACCTCAAATTATATTTGTAAATGTAAAGCATTTAGTACACAACAGCATGCTCAACAAATGGAAGCTCTGATGACAGAGTCAGGATTACAAGTATCTGTTGAAGGTGAGGGGTTCTTTATCTATCAAGTCAGTCTCCTCACGTTCTTTTACTGGTACCCTCTCCTCTTCCTCCGTCGTTAGGCACTGCCGCTGCTTTTCACTGCTTGTATCCCAACTTCTGTCTCTAGCAGATTACCCCTTCTCATTTGCTACAGGCTAGGACATCTGATAATCAAGATGGTTGGAATAATACGTAGATCATTGCAAAACAATCACCAGGCTGTTCATAACAGTCTCGACTACAGAATGAAGTATATAAGGTTCAGTCATGGCTCAGAATGGTTATTTTTGTTCTCCAGGACAGTTTTTGTTTGTCTAACTTCTGTGTTCTAGAAAGTGGAGATTCCTGGTCTGAAATCTATACAAGTGGCGTTACCTATAAAATTAACAGAGTTATTCTGTTCTGGGATGTGATAAGTTTACCATATCTATAGTCTATTAAAAGATTATTCTAATAAAATTGTGGCTATGTACAAATAAGATAAAAATTACCTTGTAAATAATTTTTACAAGCTCCATTGCTGTAAATGATTCTTGAAAGTTCTCACTAAATATCGTAAGAATTTGCTGTTCTCGCATATTTCTGTGAGAAATGTATTGTAGAATTTTAGCTTCAGCATTATGGATTACTGGGCCATGTCCTGAATTAGAATAATTACGAAAATTATTTCAACTAGATAAAACATATTAAGCACAAATGAAGTTAATTTACTCTATTTAAAAATAATTCATACGTTGTATTGAAAAAGCATAATAAATACACAACCAATATGAATTATTTGATTACTATACAGGTATAAAAGATTGAAAAATTATGTACAATGCCAACATTAGAGAATTATGTAAAATAAAACCTATATAAAAGGTTATTGGGTACATTACAAAATATAAAATAAAAATTTAACAACAAAAATATAGCAATGAAAACAGTAACGATAGGTAATATTTACACAGTGCTCATTATTTGCCAGGCACTGCTCTAAATGCTTAATATACATCATTCTTACAAGAATCCTGTGAGGTAGGTACTCTTATTATTTCTTTCTATAGCAGCAGTTGAGGCGCAGGGAGGTAAACAGCCCGCCCACAGTTACGCAGCTAAAGCGGGGGGAGCTGGAGTTCTGACTCAGGAGCTTCTAACTAGTCTATGCTCTTCACCACTATACTACACTTATAAAAGATGGAAAAGGGGAATGTAAAAAGTAGCTTCATGCAAGTAACCAAGAGCTATTAAAAGTCCATAAGAACCACAGTAGAACTTGAAGAATCTTATGTATATAGGCCAGGAATTCAGAAATGTTGCCAACCTAAAGTTGTACTGAAATTTACTTGCTCTTTAAGACAGTGCAAATTAATATAGTACACAAGTCTGCAAGAGGGAGGTTTAAAATAGCCAGAAGCAGGCTGACCTATTATCACGTAAAGAACATGGGCTTTGGTTAGAATATCCACTCTGACTTACTAGCTATGTGGCTATGGAAGTCTCTCAATCTCTGAGCTTGTTTCTTCAGCTGTGCAATGAGGACACCGCTACCTACTTCACTGGGTTTTTGGGAGGGCGACAGCTGCAAAGGTCCCTGCACAGAGCTTGGCAGGTAGCAGGCTTTAATGGACGGTAGCTATGACTACAGAACATAATTTACATATAAACTCCTGCTGTGCTAATAAGCTAGTACACCGATTCATTAAAGCAAAGACTCTAAGAGCCTTTCCTAGGAAGCCTCTCATTAGCTTTGCTTGAATGTGAGTGCATCAAACGTCTACTCTCTCCTCTTTAAAAATAGCTGTCAACTTCCAGTCCTTTTATGTCATAATGTTAATCCGAATGCCCAGCTCCACGGTATGTTTCCTGTCTCCTCAGCAGGAGAAACTCATGAGAGAATATAAGGGTATTGAACACACTGTATTTACAGATCTTTTCATAGCTTTTTGGTTAGGAACGAGTTAGAAGGACTTAAAACATTAGGCAACCCAGTCTCTTTTTCCTTCTGGGCCCTCTTGCTGGGTCCTGTGTCTTTCTTGGCTTTTAAGATGGAGGGTAGATTCACATTGTAGAGCAGTGCAGTGATAACAACAGGTTTCTTTTTCTAGAGAATCAAAATAAATATACGGTTTTACAGTTGATATGGAAGCTACTGATAGTTCAATAGTGTGAGTTAAAAAACTAAAGCTCACAGGTCAAAAGTTACCCAAGGTTACAGGGCTAAAATGTGGTCCACAATGTAAATCAAGTTAACAAAACTGAAGATAGCTTATGGAATGAAAAAATTTTCCTGTTCCAATATAACTTTATTTCCTTTGTTTAACAGTTCCATTGATACCTATGTAGATGTTAAAAAATAACCCTCATATCTTTATAAAGGTTATTAATATAACTCTTGGCCTTCTTTTTAATTGCATGGCTGGACAAGACTTACCAGTATAATTTAAAGAAGCTGTTCATATGTATCTCTTCAAAACTGAAAACAGAAAGAACTCACACACAGACAAACCAAAATGAATCTTCCTCATTATGTGACACAAATGGTTTTTGCTAGTAAAAAATTACCCACCTGGATATATAATATCAGCTTTGATTTTCAATAACTCTCTTAGGGAGTTCATATAATCATAGAGGTCTTCAAATACAGTTGTTCCTTCCCCTAGGATGCAATCTCCAGAAAAGACAGCATTTTCCTCTTCTAAAAGTAAAGCCATGTGATCATCAGTGTGGCCAGGTGTGTATATAACTCTGGTTGAAAGAAGAAATAGTGACAACTATGAACTCTTAGGCTTAGAAGAAACTATGAGAAGTTAATTATTCTCTCTCCGTATCTCTGGACAAGACACAAATAAATGATGTCAACGAGTTAAAAAGCTCCTCTTTTTCTTGTGGCCCACTGAATATTATAATCAGAAAACTCTTTCCTTTAACTAAATCAAATTACTCATGCTGAAGTACAAACTCAATACTTTTCCCATCTTTTTTATTATTTAGTAAGTAATAAGCACTGATTACAAATTTGGAAAGCAGAAAAGGAAAGTACTTAAAGGAGATAAAAATCACGAATCATTCCACTACACAGAGGTAGTGTTTTTATTATTTAAAAATATACATTTTCCATTTTTATTTGCATATATATATATTTACAATATACTTTATGGCAAGATTATGAGGAAAAAGCACTTATATATGTTGCTGGTGGGAGAACAAACTGGTACAGTCTATATGGAGATGAATTTGGAATTTTCTAGAAAAATTACATATGCATTAAACCCTTTTGCCTATCAATCCCACTGCTAGAAATTTACCCTGAAAATACACCTTCACAAATACAAAAATTATGTACAAATTATTCATTACATTATTTGTAATAACAAAATATTAGGAACAACCCAGATGCCCATCCATAGGGTACTATGGATAAGTTACAGTATATGCCACATGGAATACTATGCAGCCATTAAAAAGAATGAGGAAGATCTCCATGAACTGATATGGAGTAATTTGCAGGATATCCTGTCAAGCGATAAAAAGCAAAGCACAAAAGAGTGTTTATAGTATGCTCTTTGGTATAGAAATATGAGAAAATAAAACCTATATGTATATATTTCCTTATTTTTGCACAAAGCAAGTCATGAAGACTAAATCAAAAACAAACAAATATAGCTGCCTACAGGGGGTAGGCAGATGGGGTGTAGGGAACAGAGGTGCAAGCAAGACTTCCCTGATTAGAACTTTTCGACTAGTTTTAACTTTTAAGCTATATAAATATTTTATATATTCTAAACCTAAAATTAAATAAAAAGATGAAAGAAAACCTTAACCTTGAAAACAGAATGCAGTGAATCTTACCGTACATTAGATAGATAACATAGCCATAGTAAAAAATGAACTAATTGAAGTAACTTTTAAATATAGTACAAGACTGTACATCCTTAACAGAATATATCTTAAGATCAAAAGAATTGCAAAGATATCTTGAACTTTAAGAGGTTTATTGTTGGCAGTGTTATTGGCTATTGTGTTTCTGAAACTATCTTGTGTTTGCTGTTCAACAGTATAAACAAGTAAATAAACTGATGTCACTAACCAAGGTTTTCACTGTGGGATAAGGAAAAAATATATATGGAATAAGGGAATTATGGTTTTGGGTTGTTTGTTAACTGAATCGAGGAATCATTACTAACTCATCATTTTATTTTTTTTCTGGCTCCGTCTATAAAAAGGCCCAGGAATAATGATACTCACACCCAGAGTATCCTGTGAGCGTACTTCACACTCAGTTCTTTCTTTCTAAATATTGATTCCCACTCAAAGAAACCAGGGCTTCTTACAGATGTGGCTGGCTCCAGGCCTGAGGCAGGGGAGGTAGAATGCGGTATTGAGACACCCCGTATCAGATAGCAAGGAAATGATCAAGATTAATGGGGCTATGTCAAAAGGACAAAGACGCACTGAAGCACAAAAAATCCTAAGTCTCAGAAAAGAAGGATGGGGGAAATCTCTTCTTTAAGAAGAGTGTCAGCAAATAAAGAAAAAAAAGAAAGTGGAAGACATAATAGAAGGAAAATAGCACAATTTGGCACCTTTAATATATTAATTGATTAAAGCAAGTATCATCAACTGATGCTAAAACCACAAAAACAAGTACACAGAAATAAGCTTAAAGTTATTTGCATTAAGCTTAACTCACAGGACTATATTACTAATATGCAACAATGGAGCTCCACGAAAAAGATGTGTAATTGTCATTAGCAACTAAGGGCTCAGTATTTTCACAAGACAATTCTACCAAACATTTAAAGGTCAGGTAATTTCACTACTCCTCAACCTATCCCAGAGCCTAGAAAAAGAAGGAAAATTTATGAATCTCAAACCTAACAAAGGTTGCACAGAATGAAAACTACTACCTAATTTCACTAATGAATACTGTTATAAGAATCTTAACTAAAATATTAACAAATAGAATCCAGGAGCATATTTCAAAATAATAATATCATGATCAAATAAAGTTTATTCAAAAAATGAAAGTGTGATTCAATATTATAAGATCCCTGAAAATAATAATAAGGTTATGGAGAGAACTAGTAAGATCATCTCTCTAGACACTGCAAAGATATTTGACGAAATTCAACTCTTAAATAACACTGTTTAAGACGACTGAAATGACTATAACTTAGAAGAGTTTCTCCTTTGTCAAAAGAAATAAAAACCAATCAAATCCTTAACACTGAATATTGAAACTATAAAGCCTTTTTAAAAAATCTGCTAAAAATGTAATAGATATAAGGTACAAAAAGATAAGATACTAGTGTAACAGGAGCAACTATTTTTGAGAAGCATTAAGAACTGACATTAATGGGGCTGGCCCCGTGGCCGAGTGGTTAAGTTCATGCACTCCGCTGCAGGCGGCCCAGTGTTTCGTTGGTTCGAATCCTGGGCACGGACATGGCACTGCTCATCAAACCACACTGATGCAGCGTTCCACATGCCACAACTAGAAGGACCCACAACAAAGAATATACAACTATGTACCGGGGGGCTTTGGGGAGAAAAAGGGAAAAAAAATAAAATCTTTAAAAAAAAAAAAAAAAAAGACCTGACATTAAGAACTATTATGCTTTTATGGTTTCCAAGTGTATGCTTTATCTACTGCAAACACTCACTATATTATGGTTGCACCAATAGTGAGATGCTAATGTTAGAAATCATCTCTTTTGTTTGATTAAACACACTGTGACCTGTTAATCAAAGTATTCAATGTTATATGAAAATAATTCCAGGAGGTCTTTTCCAGCAACTATAAGAACACATGGATGTGGGGATGTATCTTATCTTATGGACAGTCTTATGAAGGGTCACACACAGAATCATTTACAAACAGAACCACTTTACAAATGCATTACAAAACAGAACGTCTTTTTTCTTAACCTACAGAAACTCATTTGGAGAACCATTCTTTTTCAGAGTCTGCAAGCTGTCTTATCCGTCCCTTTGCTCACAATGTCTCCTTTATCATTCCCCTCCCACTCCCCATGCCAGAACTCAGTAACGGTTTTCTTTGATATTTTCTAGGCTAAAGGGAATAAGATTTCTTAAATGAGGGGATCAGAAATTCTAATTCTCCAGTCACCTGGGTGGCTAATGCTTTAATTTTCATAAAAACTGTGTTAAAATTCACTTCACGTAGGCAGGAGGAGAACAGGAAACGACATCAGAGGTGCTTCGCTAAAGATGTGAGGACCTGTTGCTGTGGCCTTCCCATTCATCAGGTAGAACATTTATTGAGCTCTGCCACCTCTTAATAGAGGAGACTTTTTAAGGATGGCTGTCTTAGAAAATTCAGAATAGTCAACAAAAGCTGTCAGACTGACTTTTCTTCCAGAAACTTGGTTCACTAGAAAAGTCCTGAAAGTTATGTACAGAATCAAATCCTTACTGAAAAACCTTGCTAATTTCTACTTTTTACCAAAGGGTTCTAGGTGGGTATTATCTCTCTCTCTATTGTATTTTGTTTTTTTCAAAATTGGCAAGTAGACAAGATCAACTGGACATCAAATACTTGGGGACTGAAGTAGATTTTAACCTTCTGTCATGGAACTTATGCTTAACAATGAGTCTCTCCTTAATATTTAAAACTATAGGGTTTTACCCACTTTATAAAAATGGAAATTGGAAACCATGGTCATCACTAAATTAAATGTTTTATTCAGATTTATTAAAATATATTCTAACAAAATGTAAATATTTTAATAAAATGTAAATATAATACAATTTAATAAAATATAACTAGAATTTCTATTTTAAGAAAAGATTTACTGTCATTTTTAAAATGTTTGTCTGTTTTTGATTCTTTGTGTTAGTTTTCCCCCTGAATCTTAAAATAGATAGATTCTCATACTTAATTTATCTTAATCAGAATGCAGTAAAACAAAAATTAGACAGAATTCAGATAAGGCTGAGATCCTGGGCGTCAATTCACTCCCTGAATCTAAGAGAGCATTCAGCCAAGGTGGGGCCAGTGACAGGATGCACCCGGGGAGGCCTCGGGGCACTGATATTGTTGTTTTGGGATCTGACTGCTGGCTACACGTGTAACAATTCACCACGTTGTACAGTGATGGTATGCATACTTTTCTGCTTGCATACTTCAATAAAAAGCTTAAAATATGTGGTCTGTTCATGGCAGATGGGTGGAGGTCAAATTCCAAGGGCTAAATATTCTTAATCTACAAATTAGGTATAGGTCTAATATCCATGATTCTGTGATAACTGATAAACCAGTAATGGGATTCCCAAACTTTTGAGAGAGAAGATCCAACGAACCACCCCTTTCATTCACTTGGCCTAGGGCTGGTGTGCAATGGGGGAAATTCATCATTGTCAAGAATACTTTCTGAAGAAGTAGTAATGTTTGTTTTCCTTTAGTATCATGAGCAAATTATATGAGATACTATCATATTTTCAATAAGAGTATCCTAAAAAAGTTGCTCAGAAATTAGTTGGTTTATAAATTAAATTTTGTAAATCACTGGCAGAGTGGAAAAAAGGGAACACTGAAAGGTGGCATAGAAACCCATTATTTCGCTTTCTTTTTCTCATTCATCTGTTCATCTGCTTGCCTCTCTGTAGATATTCACTATATGTAGGATAAATATTCAGTGCCTTCTATGTGCCAGGGACTGGGGATATGAAGATCAATCTGGTATCTGCCTGTGCTTATCATCAAATCTGTTTCCTCTTTTTCCTGGGCATGAAGTTAAACTATATTTCCAAGCCTCCCCACAGCCAAGGGTGGCATGTGACTGAATTTACAGCCAATGCAACAGAAGACCTGGTCCATGAACACCTCCCATGCAAAGTCCCTTCCATGCTTTATCCACTTGTTGGACTGACTGAGGTGAGCACGGCACCCCTGAAAGCCAAGTATTGAGACGGTGGAATCACAAGATGGAAGGAGTCTGAAACACGACTTGCAGGAGGGCCAAGTGCTAATCAGGAAACTTTTTGGCTTTTACGTTACTGAGAAATAAACATAGTTCATGTTTGAGCCATTATACATTTCTGGGTTGGTTTGCTATAACAACTGGCATTAACTAATATTGTGAACCTAAGGAGCTGATTGCCTTTTAAGGAGAAACCTAAGGGGAAGGTATAAGGAAAGGCACGAGCACACGTAAGGTGCCCAGGAATATCTGGATACGACTAATGGTGGCTGTGAGGGGAGTGGGAGGCGCTAAGGCCAGAACAGTGGCTTGGGGCTGGACTGTGTAAGGAGAGTAAACATGATCTTTAATGCACTGAGAGTTATTCAAGCTTTCAAGGGGGTATGGGTTTCAAGTGAGATGGGGTACAAAGGGTACACTAGAAAGGGCAGAGCTGGGAGACAGGAATATTAAGCAAGAAGTAGTGGTAGCAGACATGAAGAAAAAGGGACAGCACTGACAAATATTTCTGAGGTAAAAACTAACCTGGCTAGATGCGGTGGGTGGGGGAGGGACGGTGATAAAGGTGAGGAGGAATCAGCTTCTGTCTAGGAAGGAAAAATAAAATCCTAAGTACTGAGAGCAGTAGACGCTCTGAAATCAGAAAGCAAGCACAGATTGTGGGAGAGAGAGGAGAACCACAATTAGTTCAGTTTTAAAATTACTGTGTTTGAAACACCTTTCTGAATCCCTCAAACAGGTCACGGGGGACTATGGGTCTGGCCTAAAGTGTATTTATTTTAGGTATGGCTCGTCTTTTGGAAGTGAGAACAGGAGAAAGCTCTAAATTTAATTGATGGATAGATCCCTAAACCACTTCAGCAGGAAATACTAATCTATTTTTTTAAATTTAAATTACATTTATTAAAAAAAGATAATCATATAATTCAAACAAATAATTAAAAAAGGGTGGATAGAGTGAAAAGCCTTTCTTTTACCATTTCTCAAGCAACTGATTTTCTCTTCCCAGAGTAACCAACGTTAGCAGATCTTTTGTATCCTTCCTGGGACATTCTTCACTCGAACAAGCAAATATGCAGAGATCTTCCTTTCCCCCGTTTTATAACACATGTACACAGACCCCTCCCCTCACTGCTGCCCTCTCTGGCTAAAGGCCATTCGCCTACCTGAGAGTGGCACCCTCAGTCTTAATCACATCTCCATCTTTCAGATAAACATATTGCTGCTCTCCATCTCCTATAATTTCTTCTTTATGAGGATTCCGTGGCAGTTTTTTAATGCAATATACAGTGTCTAGGCACAAAACATGTAAAACATATTAAGTCACCCTTTAAATGAGAATTCAGCCTTTTAAGAGATCAACTTTCATAAAGCTAACACGTGAATGGCTGCAAAAAATATTAACGTTAAGAGACAATAGAAAATGGCATGAATTACAGCAGCTTATCTCTGGGATGGTAACTATTTCTTCTATCTCAACAAAAGGGCTTTTTACTCTCTCATGCCCCTCTAAATCTATATAAAAGCCCTTAGGTTTTTCTAGTTACTCCTATTTTATACAAAAATTTGAAAGTAGTTCTTCATAATCTAGCTAGCTTTGATATCAAGATGGGTGTTGAAGGGCAGTAATACAGAACCAGGGAACTTTTCTCTATCTAGGTGCCTAACAGAGAGTAAAAGAAGTCATGGCGTCATGGCAGTAGTTAACAATAAAAGGATGACAGCATAAAGTTCCTTCTGTGAAAGCTGAAAGGAAGCCCCAAACCCAGGGCTAAGAAATTAAACCATTAAAATAAATTTAACCCATACTACCACTGACACAAAGAAAATCAATTAAAACTAATCAACAGCTGAGTGCCAATTACGTAATCAGTATACTATGTATAGTGAATACAAGCACCATGACAGCGAAGTGCTTAAAAAAACTGTCATAGTTAGGAAGATAAAACTTCCAAACAGGAGATAATTAAAGAACTATATTCAGTACCATTTAATGAATATTAAACAAACAATTTAGCTAAGAAAAGCAACAGGAGTTTAGAGACAGGAGAAAATTAGGAAAGGATTCATAAATATTATAGAACTTGAGGTATGACTTACAGGATGAACAGGATGGGAAAAGGTATAGGGAGAGTTATAGGTAAGAGTAGCATTAGTAAAGGCAAAGAAAGGAGAATGAGATGGCATATGTGCAACAGTGTAATGCTACCAACTTGTCTAACGCCAAACCCTGGCTAGTAAGAGTGGAGATAAAGTGGGATAGGTAAGATGAGCTCAGATCATGGAGGGCCTTAAAGTGCCTTTCACAGAATAAAGGAATTTAAACTTTACCATACGTGGCCACTCTTCAGTAAGAAAATGAACCAGTGTTAACAGGTCGATCAATATGGCGCTATAGATGCAGAGACTGCAGGGGGAGAGATCAGAAAGACCAGGAGGGGATGACTATAATAACTCAGCTGGAAGGTAATGAATATTAGGGCTAGGGTGGTAGCAATGGAAATAAGGAGGGAGAAAAAGACCTTCAGAGAAAAACTGACAAGGCATAGAAATCTGGCTAGTACGGAGGACAAAGAAGACAGAAATATTGCAAATATAATAAAAATAAAACAAAACAACAGCAACTGGACCTTCCCTCTCTAGCCCCAAACTCCATTATTTTGTACCCTAGAGGCTGAAGAAAAAAACAATATGCTAGTCTGGGAAATGACATTACATAACAAGGTTGTCTTCACTATAGAGTAAGATGGTGAGGTTTTCTTGCCTGTTTTTATTTTTAACCTGCATAATTTTGTCTTTCAGTAAAGAAATGAAGGTACTATATTTCTAGTTATGAGACCTTTGGCAGACAATCCTTCCAAAAACTCTCGATCATCTCAAAATTACAAAGCAAATGTTATACTATAAAATAAGTTCGTGTCAGTTTTAAAAATTATGTGGAAATAAGAAAACACATATCCTATTCATAATAGCAATCTATACAGGCAGGATGGAGAAGGGCATGTTGAAAGCAATCATATAATAATTAATTATTACTACTTTTAATAAAAGCTTATTGAGATATAATTCACATACTATAAAACTTACCCTTTTAAAGTGTACAATTCAATGTTTCTCTAGTCAGCAAAGAATTGTACAACCATCACCACTACCTAATTTCAAAATATTTTCAAAACCCCTTAAAGAAACCGTGTACCCAAGGTAGTCACTCCCTATTCTCTTCTCTCAGTCCCTGGCAACCACTTAGCTACTTTGTGTCTGTGACATATGATTATCATTATTTTTGTTTCCCGAGGAATATTAGCCCTGAGCTAACATCCATTGCCAATCCTCCTCTTTTTGCTGAGGAAGACTGGCCCTGAGCTAACATCTGTGCCCATCTTCCTCTAATTTACATGTGGGACGCCTGCCACAGCATGGCTTGATAAGCAGTGCGTAGGTCTGTGCCCAGGATCCGAACCTGCGAACCCTGGAGTGCCGAAGAGGGGCGTGAGAACTTACTGCTATGCCGCTGGGCAGCCCTCTCTATCATATAATTATCTTAACAGGAGGAAACCCTCAGTCATTTGCTAAGGTTTGAATATTGGATTATAACATCATTGCTAATGCTAATTATTTAAGCTGATACAAACGTGATATTGTTCATGTATAATACTTTCCAATAAAAACACATTCTAATTGAATAACAGAAACAAACATTTGACTTCTAGGATTTGAATGTGAGATATGTGGTCAAGAACCAACTTCAGGTGCAAAATAATAATTATGAGATAAAATATATTTTATAAGATTTACTCAAAAACAAACCAGAACAAAACACTCAAGCAGCCTGGAGCTACATAGTTCTTATGTCTAGTAAAATTCTGGCTCCCTGTAAGCAACCAGGAGTTCCCAAATTATACAATGATTGCATTTTAAAATTTTGTAAGCAAGTTGTTTCAGAGTTACCGTATATTTCCATAGAAACCTTACAAATGGCATTCATAATGTCAATGTGGCCTGTAAAAACACAGGTTGTTTAGCGTTGAAAAGCAGTTGAAAAACTTCTCCATACTAATGATTGAACAGAATAGTAAAGCAATGTGGAACAAAAGAAAACAATAAAATAACAAAATGGAACAAGAATGCTAGTGATTAAGGATTTAGAGAGTGAAGAAATACATAGAGCTTTTGGGAGATGAATCTGAAAGGTACCTCTGTACAATTTTAGTGCAGAGCCACTCAAGGTCTGCATGCACTTGTCTAGCTTCAATACAGTTCAGAAAGAAAGACAACAAGCCACTTCTCAAACAAAATATTAAAATTTTAGCGGCTATAAAGCAGTGTCAAATTTCTCCTTGATTTTCTTTAAATCAACTTAATAGGTAATCTATGATGCAAATATTCATTATTTTATATAGTATTCAAAACTATTTTGATTTTTAATTTAAAGAAAGTGGGTCAAATGTCCATTAATTGGTGAATGGATAAACAAATTGTGGTATATTCCTACCATGGATTACTACTTGGCAATAAAAAGGAACAAACTACTGACACACGAAACACGAGTGAATCTCAAAAACATCCAGTATGAAAGAAGCCAGACAGAAAGTGATTCTGTATGCTTCCATTATGTGAAATTTCAGAACAGGCAAAACTAATCTACAGTGAAATAAAGCAGACCAGTGGTTGCTGGAGGCGGAGGGGAAATCACTGTAGAGTGGCATGACCAGACTTCTTTTTGGGGCAGTGGGAGTGTTCTTTATCTTTTTTGCTTTTTGTGAATTTTTTTTGGTGAGGAAGATTCACTCTGAGCTAACATCCGTTGCCAATCCTCCTCTTTTTTTGCTTGAGGAAGATTAGCCCTGAGCTAACATCTGTGCCAGTCTTCCTCTGTTTGTATGTGGGATGCCGCCACAGCCCGGCTGATGAGTGGTAGGTCCGCACCCAGGATCCCAACCCACAAACCTAGGCCACTGGAGTGCAGAACTTTAACCACTCAGCCACCGGGCTGGCCCCTCTTTATCTTGACTGGAGTGCTCACATAGGTGTTTACCAAACTATACACTTAAAATGGGTACATTTTATGTATGTAAATTCAAGCTCAATAAAGTTGATTTATGAAGGAGAAAAAGTGGGCCATAAACATTTAAGTTTTTCAAACTGACCCTCATGTTAAAAGAGTTGACCAAAACTAATTATAACCCTCAGCATAGTTTTTTCACAAAATTTAATGAGTAGATAGACAAGAGAAAGAATGATGAGAAGTGAGACTGGGAGACAATGACTTGCACAGTCCCCTCGGTTGGAAGAAAGGAGGTCAGAGGGTAAGAAAGTTAGGTTAGATGGTTTTTTACAACGGACAGCCTGGTGACATTGAGTGCTATAGCTGAGAATATCTGGGTGTCCCAATTGTAGTCTCAAGGCCTAAAAAGAAATACTTAAAAATATTTGTTGAATGCATACGTGCATTCCTTTTGTGAAAGAACATTCATTTGTTTTTTAAAGATTGGCACCTGACAACTGTTGCCAATTTCTTTTTTTTCCCTGCTTTTTCTCCCCAAATCCCCCCGAGTACATAGTTGTATATTTTAGTTGTGGGTCCTTCTTGTTGTGGCATGTGGGATGCTGCCTCAGTGTGGCCTGATGAGCGGTGCCATGTCCGCACCCAGGATCCCAACCGGAGAAACCCTGGGCCGCTGAAGTGGAGCACTTGGGCACGGGGCAGGCCCTCTGCATGAACATTCTTGACCTCCTTGTCTTTCACGTGCCTTGAGCATGCCAAGCATACCCCCATTCCAGTAATGGGTCCTGCAATGCCCTCTGCCCGGTGTGCCCTCCTCTCAGATACCCATATAGCTTATTCCCTCTCCCTGTCCACCTTAAATATAACAGACACTGCCCTCCTCTACTTTATTCTCTCTTCCTTTTCTTCCCTTAGCTTCATTTTTCTTCAAAGAACCAATCACCACCTGATCTATTATTTATTTACCATTTACCTTCCCTAATAGAATGAAAGCTCCATGAGAGCAGAGTCTTTGTTTTGCTCACTATATATCACTTGTGTCAAGAACAGTGCCTGGATATAGTGGTCATTTGAGTATTTGTTAAAGGAAGGAAGGAAGGAAGGAAGGAATGAATCCATGTGATGGTAGGATAAGGGAATAAGGAGAGAATGGTCAAGTGTTGGTACTGAATAGGTTTCAGGGACAGAAAAGTATCACCACAATGATCTTTCACCAGTATTTCAGTCCATCACAGTAATTGCCTTAAAGTTATGGAAGACCTGAGATCATGTTTAGAATGTGGACGTTAGCACCTACCTCACAGTATCCACGCATAAGGTGTTCAGCACGGTGCCTGGCCCATGTAAATGCTCAACATTAGTTAGTTACTATTAAATCTGAAGTAGTAACTGTCACACAGACTAAATTAAAACTGACCTTTATCACTGGGCAAAGGGGAAAAATAAGAGGAAAAAGATTTGAAATAGAAAACAGAACTTTTCCTTTCCTCCTTTGTTAAAATTGGGAACAGTATTCAAGTTATATTAATTGCAAAAAGTACAATTTAAATATAAGGTATTCATTCAGTAAATGGTTTACTAGCTTACTTAGCTCTGTAACTGAAATAAATTATTCTGAAAACATAGTTTTCCTCAATGAGATTAACGGCAGTTTTCTCTTTACCATTACTGATGCTTTTACAGATATCTCTTATGCCTCCAGTATGATCACGGTGCCAATGAGTCACTATGATTTCCTGGATTGCTGTGTTAAATTCAGTCAGAGCCTGCTTTAAACAGCTGATATATTCTGGAACTGCAGGTTCTCCAGTGTCAATGAGGATTCTCCTGTAAAGTAAATGGAAGATAATCACACAATTGGAACACAGAGTTAATATTAGCATATTTCTCACATAGATAATTTACATTACATTTAAGAAACTGCATATATTGCTTTGCTTTTAACATGCTTGACAACCAGCTATATGTTACTTCAGCTTAATCATAGTAATCTCCTTAAGAAAGTTCTTTGAAAAAATTTATGGCTAAGTGTAAGTCTGAACAAGGAATAAAATTAATACTGCACCCTTATATAGCACTTAAATATGGCACTGTTTCAAGGATCTTAGATATTTAGACAATCATATCCCCCCTAATAACTATTTAAGGTATGTATTTCATTACTATATCCAGAAATTAAGTAACTTGCCCCAGCTTACTCTGCAAATAAGTGGCAGAACCAGCATTCAAACCCAGGTATTCTGGTGCCAGAATATGTCCTTTTATTCACTCTGCCTTTGAGATCTTCTACAACACCCTCAAAGGTCTCATAGATATGAAAGATTTAATTCACGGGCATCCCTAAAGAAACCCAGTCTTCTGCACTACATATACCACCTCCCACTGACGTCTTCCACTGCCCTTTACACACGGAAATGAGGGCAGCAGGGAGGCACGGGGCAATGTCTGAGGGGCTTGCTTCCTTCACTGAGACAACCCTGTTAGTTATATTTCTCTGCTTGCACTTCTGAACCTTCCTTATACTTTGTCTGCCCTTCCTCAACATCTTATGGGACGATGGTCTTTCTCTATGACGTTTTCCTGAACTAAAGAAATGAAGGGTGACGTTTTCGTCCTCAAGGACCAGTTCAGAAACATCTGACTTCAGGTGGTTTCACAGTAACTCCTCTCTAATGCAGGCAGGGGGGAGATTAGCCTGATGAAAAGTCTGAGTCACTCGTTCATTTGTTAATTTATCAGTAACTGTTTATGAATTATCTACTACATGCCGTGCCTTTCTTGCAAGACAAAAAACCCTGTTTACATTCTAGTGGAGGATGGGAAGGGGAGCTGTAAAAACAAACAATAACAGTAACAGTGACAGATAACAGACAGCATTTTGCAGAACATAAAATGAGGTAAATATGACAGGAAGTAACTGGATGGCTCTTTTATGTTGGATGGTTTGTTTTCCCAAGACCTTCAGCCACAAGGGGAGGGCAGTGGCCTTAGGATTCAATGGCTTCTATCTACATCTTAGTTCCCTAGAGTAGTTCACAAGTACACAGTGTTACAACTGTCCTCTCTGGAGATAGGGAAACCAGGCCAAAGGGTAAGTTATACAGTCCTTTGGCCGTGGAAATGTGAGGAGGAGATGGTTTAAAGAACACTTAGGAGGTGTGATCAAAACGATTTTTTTTAACAACTGGATGTGGAAGGGAAAGGAAAGAGTTGATGATTCTGAGGTTTCTAGGTGGGATGACTGGTGTGTCAATCAAGATTGTAAACACTGGAGGCAGCAAATTTGAGATGGGTTTGGTTTGGGTCAGGGTGAATTTTGAGTACTCTGCCTGCCATCTTCCCTGGCTTTTTCTCCGTAGTACTTATTACCATCTGAGATACAATGTATTTACATGTTTATTTATTTGTTGCCTATTTCCACACCCTCCCCCATCCCACAAATTTAAGCCCCATGAGTGTAGGAATCTTGTTTGTCTGGTTCTGCCAGAGCCTACACACTGACAGGTACTAGGTAATAAGTATTTGTTGAATGAATAAATAAGGCAGTAGCTTTATTTTTATCTTATTTAATTATTAAAACAATTCTATGAGTTTACTCTCATTGTACAGAGGAGGAAGCTGAGGCCTTACAAGTTGACACACATCTAATACATTAACTTGCTCTATGTCACAAACTCTAGCAGAGGATATATTTGAATCCACACCTCTCTAACTCCAATGCCCATTTTCTTTGGATGTGAGAATTACTTCAGCAGGTTTTGATGAACAACTTTACTTTTTTTTCATTTTTCATTTTTTTTGCTGGGGAAGACTCACCCTCAGCTAACAACTGTTGCCAATCTTCCTCTTTTTTTTTCTCCCCAAAGCCCCAGTACATAGTTGTATATCCTAGTTGTAAGTCCTTCTAGTTCTTCTATGTGAGTTGCCACCACAGCATGGCTACCGACAGACAAGTGGTATGGTACCATGCCCAGAAATTGAACCCGGGCTGCTGAAGCAGAGCGTGTCAAACTTTAACCACTAGGCCATCAGGACTGGCTCTGATGGACACCTTTAGGTAATGAGTTCTTAACTATTCTTATGTCTTGGGCCATTTTGGCAGTGTGGTGAAACCTATGGGCCAGTCTCAGCACAATGTTTTAGAGTGCCTAAAATAAAATATATAGGATTACAAAATAAACCAATTATATTGAAATACAGTTATCAAAATAAAAAAATTATGATATAGTATTACATGTGCTTCCTTATTATCATATGAAGTAACAAGACCAGCACCAAATCTTATAATGACTCTAATTTCTAAACAGTGGTGAATATACATACTATTTTGAGATACCTGTCATGACTGTAATATACTATGAAAATATTAGACAAAAAAAATCTCCGGCACGGCCAATTACTACTATGGTTTGTTGCTTATGTTCACACTTGAACAAAAGGTTAATTTTCAGTTTGAGGTTAATAAAGGTGTCATTTTTTTTCCTCCAGCTAAGGTTACATTCTCTGAATTATACCCTTTGGAGGACCAGAGAAGATCCCAGGTTAAGAACCCCTGATTCTGGTAGAGGAGGAAGGAGAAAAGAAGATAATAAAATCAAGTCTGAGCTACTTGAATTGAATTAACTATTAATTGTTTGTTGATGAACCTCCAGTTGTCTAGAGCAGTTCTGGCATAAAATAGGTACTCAATAAACGTATACTGAATAAACTTAGTTCAAATTCTAATGAATGACTACTAGGTACAAGATATTGTGCTATATACCTTATGAGATGAAAAGCTGAGCAAGACGGACTGTACAGTCTAGGAATTTACGGTTTATTTCTATATCTACAATACATTGTGCCATGCTTGGCACTGTGCACATTTAGTCATACAAAATTAAAAATACACAAACTATGGGGCTGGCCCAGTGCCGTAGTCATTATGTTCACATGCTCTGCTTTGGTGGCCTGGGGTTCACAGATCTGGATCCTGGGTGGGGACTTAGCACCACTTGTCAAGCCACGATGTGGTGGCGTCCCACAGAAAATACAGGAAAATTGGCACAAATGTTAGCTCAGTGACAATCTTCCTCACAAAACACAAACAAACAAAAAAACACAAACTATAATATTATAATACTCTCAACAATACTCTCTAGCCTACTATCTTACATTTTGGCTGCCTCCACGCATTTGGGGATATCTGGCATTTATTAACCACAAATTCTTGTTGCCCTTTAATTAGCATCACTTAAAGACTATTTTGGAGGTCTTCTGGCCCTTGAGAAGAATCCTTCCATGTGTCAGCACAAGACTTCTCAAATTTTTTCAAACCACCAACACCCTACCCTTTTTCAATCCTTGCCTCCTCCTCCTCTCAAGGAACTCTGTTTTGAAATGTCCTGTAATCTAAAAATGAGTTTAAGTAATAATGTCCTTATTTTAAATTAAAGGCCAGATTATATCAAGTCGATCAAAAGTCATGACAAAATTAATGGGGTTAATACATAGATTTGATAAAATCTAGTAGTAAAGAAAACAATTCTTTTAGAATGACCATGCTTTCTGTTTGCAAGTGAAAGTGTGAGTGACAGACCTCTGGCCCTACAGAATGTGGTTCATGGTCCTTCCTTCTTAGGTCTCCTAAGGGTGCCGATCTGGTCTAACAAAATTGGTATTGGCAAAGTAAGGACTTTCAAAGTGAGGAAAATAGGACTTTCACAAGTCCTGGAATAAACACAATCTATTCAGAACAGAGGAGAAGTGTCTAGATGCTATAAAACTTAAAAATTAAGTTTTTATCAAGCATTAGGGAAAAAACAGTCACACTGATAACATCTTACATTGACTGACATAGCAATTTAAAGTAACACTTGGCGCTTTCGTATTTCTTATCTCTTTGACCCTCAGAGCAACTCTAGGGAGGTATTATTACTTTTTATTATTTTATTTTATGGAAGAGGAAACTAGCCTTGGGAAAGGCTAACTGATTTGCTCCAAGCTCCAGGAAAAGGCAGTGCTAGGAAGCACCAGATATTCAGATACAAGGTCTAGTGACTTCTCTATTGAAGACACACTGCCTCTGGTGGAAGGGACTGCTCAGGCAAGCCCCTAGATCATCCTTCATGTGCATAAAGAAAACTTCAGCTGTAAATTAGAAAAAAATGTTCTCAGTTTCCTCCTTAACAAATAGCAGTTCCATCAATGACGTTTGGGAGTAGTTATCGCAAAGGATTAGACAGTGTCATCTCTATGTGGGCTGGCTGACTTTGCTGCTCATGGCCACAGACAATATCCCATCTCAGGAGGTCATTTTGCAAATGCAAGTTATGCTAATAAAGGGGGCAAGAGAAGAGTGCAGAACAATCTGTACAGGTCTGTAACAGATTTAACCACTAGACCACACTGCCTGGCACACAGTAACAATCTGCTACGTGAATGGAGAAAAAAATTCTTCAATTGCTGGAAATTAGTGGAATCAACTTCCTCTTTTAGGTATTTTATATCAAGAAAGCTATTAAATAGCCTCTGTCAATGTCCTATCACTCTTACAAAATCATTAACTATTTTCTGGGCACCTACTATGAACCCAGAATTGTCTGGCTGCTATGAGGGAAGAAGTGACAAAAATAACAGCTAACATTATTGTATGCTTTCCACATGCTGCAATTTAAGTGCTTTTGATATGACTTTTCACTTAAATTTCAATGAATCTTTATACCATCCTTATGACATAGGTACTATACAACCCTCATTGTATAGATAAGGAATCTGAAGCTTAGAGAATCAACTGTCTTCTCCAAAGTCACAAGCCAGGGTTAGGAGCTACGTAATCAGAGTCCAGAGTCTTAACTCTACTGCACTTTTCCTATCAATAGGAAATAGTATATTTGCCCTCAAGATATTTACAATTTTATAGTAAAGGTTAAAATTGCAGTCTTTAGAGGTTCTTAGGCAGGGGAGGAATGTGGAAATACTCTTTGGAAGATGTGACTATTATTTGTCCACTCAATGTTTGTTAAATACCTATGTACTAGGTGGGCATCACAGGAGGGCTAGCAGTGCTTTAGGGAAATTCATTTGGTATTCACGGGTTGATCAGAATGAGGAAGGAAGACCAGCTTAAACTGCAGTGATCCAGCAGTCCTAAAATCATAACAGAGAAAATGTAGAGAAGGCTCATTTATTCAGCAAATATTTACCATCCTACCTGTACTACATACAAGGCTCTGTGCTAGCTGCTGGGGATAGAGTAATGAATAAGCCTTCACTGAATTTTTATTCTAGTGGGGAGTGGAGGTGGGGAAAGACACTAAGCTTTTTCTTACACAAAATAATCGTTTTATTATCATTGAGATAAGGGCCACGAAAAACATGGAGTGCTAAGGCAGTGTATTACATAAACCTAACGTAGCCTAAGGGGTCAGGGAAGGCTTCCCTGAGGAAATGATATTTTCACTAAGCTCTAAAGGATGAGTGAGGTTAGCTGGGTGAGGAGGATAGCGATAAGAGGGGTTCAGGGAGGAAAGCATGCATGAAAGCCCTGAGGCAGAATGGATACAATTCATCTGGCTGGGAGGGGAGAGAGGCTTGAGATCAGGCTGACGAGATGCAAGGAGACCAGAACATGCAAGGTCTTCTAATTTTCATTAAAAAAAAAAAAATACTACTTTGGCTACATGGAAGAGAATGGATCGAAGAGGGACAAAAGCACACGCAGAGAACACAGTTAGAGGATATTTTAGAAGCCTAAGCAAGAGTTGCACTGGCTTGGACTGGGCGACAGCAGTGGAAATGGAGAGATGTTCGTAATGGCTTGATGTGTGTGCAGGATGCAAAGAAAAATGTTAAGTATGTACTTAAATATTTGCCTTGATCAAATGTAGAGATGGGGGGCCGGCCAGGTGTTGCAGCGGTCAAGTGCACATGTTCCGCTTCGGCAGCCTGGGGTTTGCCAGTTTGGATCCCAGGTGCGGACATGGCACCACTTGTCAAGCCATGCTGTGGCAGGTGTCCCACAATAAAGTAGAGGAAGATGGGCATGGATGTTAGCTCAGGGCCAGTCTTCCTCAGCAAAAAGAGGAGGATTGGCAGTGGATGTTAGCTCAGGGCTAATCTTCCTCAAAAAAAAAAAAAGTAGAGATGGTTTTGTTTGCCAAGATATACACAACTGGAAAAGGACCAGGTTTAGTTTCCCACTCAACCCCATGAGTTCATGTTTGGGAAATACTGAGTTTCAAGTGGCTGTGAGTCATCCAAGAACAGGTTTAAGAAAGCAGTTGGCTACTCTAGTCTGAAGATCAAGTTTGGATTTTGTCTAAACTGGAGCTATAAATTTGGGAGTTATTAATAAATAGATAATAGGTGAAGTGAAGGAAATGGACAAGATTACCTAGGTAGAGAATACAGCATGAGAACAGAAAAAAGACTGTACTGCATCTTGAGGAACTCAAACACTTAAAAGATCTGGTAAAGAGGATGATTCTAGAAAAGAGACTGGGAAAGAACAGCTAGAAAGGTAAGAAGAAACGAGGACAACGTGATGTTAGCAAATCAAGGAGGGTGGTCAACAGGGTCAAAACAAAGATGCTGAAGTTTGAATAAGATGGGAATGGAAAAATGCCATAGGGTTTAGTGATATAAGAGCCACCTGTGATCTTTACCGGTTTACTGCAGTAGAACAGGTGAATACCAATATCACAAGCTCTTACTTGGACCCAATTAATACTCATTTCTAGCCACTCGACTTCTACTTTGCACAGGAGAAAGGCATCACTTGTACATTAACTTATTCTAGCCCAACTATATGGACTCATCATTTCTCTCTCTCTCATATATGAGTGATTCTACCGGTCACTCCACTGCCACATTCCACTATGAGTTTATGTGAGCTGTAGTGTACGCAGTATAAGATGGGAGACCATGAATCTGCTCTTCCTTTAGTCAGTTGCAGGTTCTTTCCGTCTCTTTTAGCATAGGCACTTTGCTACACTGAGTGTGATTCTAGTGTTTAAAGATACAGAATGTACTTTTCACACAACATGGCCTCTAAACACAACTTCTTCTGGTTTTCAAATGAAATCAGCCATCTGTTCATGTTGGGAGGAAAAGAAGTAAGCACGGGACTTACTGAGAGACAGTACATTGATCTCCAACACAGAGTTCTCCTAAGAGACTTTCTAGGGTAATTCTGACTATCTGCTATTTTCATGTTGGGTATCGACTTAAGAGATAGTTTAAGATGACACCCTGAAGAGAAGAGAATGCCTAGGGACTGCCTGGGGCGGAGTCCCAGCCAACACTGACTCTAGCCTAGACATAAGGTATTTTTTCTGCTTAATTCTCTATCCTCCTAGGTTCTGGAGGCAGCCTAAAGCTCTTGTACCTACCTAACTCATTCTTGTTTACTCTGGACTTAATCTTTGGCCCGCCTGAGTTGCAATACTTTCACTTTTTCCACTCTGCTGCTTCTAAAATTCTGATTTACTGGAAAAAGGCAAATACAGTAGATGCTTCAAATGAAAACTCAATAAACCATACTTATTAATCTGTATTTAGTGATTAGCTATATTTTATTAATTGTAACACGTTGTGACTGCACAATTAAACTCTATGCTCAGGGGGAACTATATCTTTTGTATACTAAAGACTATCCAAAAATTGCTCAATGCACTTATTGGGCAGTAAACCTTATCTCCCCATTTCTGCATAATTCCACTAAAACAGAATGCAGATGAACAAGAGAAAAACCTTAGAAATACAGATAGGTTATTCCATCCGCAAAATAACTTAAATAAGGCCACACAGTAACAAAACCCAAAATTAGTCAGCTCCTCTTTCCCAAGGGCTAGGGGGCTCTTTCGGGTTTCAGACTCGAGCAATGTGGAAGCAAGAAAACCCTGCCCTCTGCCGGTGAGTTAAGAAAAAGGCCTCAGCACAATTAATCGCTTTGGCGAAGGGAAGTTACACTTCGGTCAAAACGCTAGTGAAAGTCAAAGGTGAGCCAAGTAAACGCCTTCCTGGGTTCTTAACAACTCTGGGCGATCCTAAATTCTCAACAGGTTAAACACGCTCGCCCTCGCATTCAACACCAAACAAAGCAAACTGGGTTTCAAGAACAGGAAGTGTTTTTTTTTCATTATTTCTCCCTCACAGCCATGGTTAAGTCAGAGAGGTTAGCACCCGGGGTGGTCGTGATTAGGGGAGGTCCTGGGTGGGGCTGCCCGGCCCGAGCAGGACGCCGCACTCCCGGCTGCGGGCGCACAGCCTCCCGGCCCGCGGCGACCCATGGGCTCAGCCTAGCCCCGTGGGTCTCGAGGGCCGCTGTGCATGTTGGGGAGAGACGAGGGACGTTTACCTGGGGCCGGTCCCCACCAAGTAGGTGTTGGTGCCCTGCAGGGTCATGGGCCCCGGGTTACAGCCCAGGACGCGCACCACCCGGCCGGACAGCCGTTCGATGGGCCGCAGCGAGGCACTCATCTCCGCCGCAGCCGCTCGCCCACTGCGAGAGCACCCGGGCGCAGGCCCCAGCGAGGCCCGGAAGGGGCGGGGCCACGGCTCACGTGACGCCGCGCGAGCACGGCGAGGCCACTCGGCGGCGAGGCCGGGGGCGGGGCCATGGGTCACGTGACGTCGGGCGGGTCTGGCGGGCGGTGGCGGGAGGGAGTCGGCGGGCGCGTGGCTGAGGGGGCGTGAGGCGAGGCTGGCTCCGGGCCCGTCGGCGCTGCGGCTTCTCCCGGGAGGTTGTGTCCCCGCAGAGGAGTTCATCCACGTGGACGAGTTACATTTTGACCTGGAAAGTCTTGTGATGGAGCGAGGGGCAGGCAGGTTTGGGGTTAGTTTCCGATTTACTAAATCCTGGGCAGGATTGCTTGTCAGGTTTGTAGGCAGTGGGTCTGTGTGGGGGTGTGTGTGGAGGAGTCTGTCAATCTTTTATAATAAATAGCAAACTAGTGTTTGCTTCGTGCTCGCTGCTGTGCTAAGGGCTTTTTGGAAACACTACTGTGTTTAATCCTCTGCGTCGGAGTTTTGTCCCCGTCTGCCAGGCACCAACACTTGCCCCCATCTGGCCGACTCGGGGAGCTGGCCTCTCCTCTCTTGTGCCACCCTCCTGCCCAGAGAGCCGGGTGGCCTCGTGGAGGAGCTTCATTCCCAAGACACAGGGACCTATTTTCTCTGTAAGGAGTCCTTTACTGATTTGCTAAGCGTTAACTATTCCGGTGTTAACGACGGCTCCCCTTCAAAAAAATCGAGTCACAGTTTACCTAAAAGGAAACGCGCAGATCCTAGGATGTTTCACCCAGTTATGACAATTGCATGCAACTATTACCCCGAAGAGGTATAGAATATGTCCCCTCTCCCAGCCCAGCCCTTTTCCAGAACAAGTGAGAAACTGACACACTTGGTGCTCGTAGTCCTAAAATTTAGGACAAGCTTTTTTAACATTCTTTTTTTGCAGGTATTTCTGAAGAAAAGACTGCCATTAATTTATAAAATATTTGTTTTACAAATCAGCAGTTTAATAGTCCAGATTTTTTGATACACCTGTATTGTGTGTGACAAATTGCTTTGCCTTCTGTCTCAAACAGGTACTTTTAATGGAAAAGTGTTTCAGAAACCTTCTCTGAAATAATCGTGTAAATTATCCCCCCTGCAATGAGAAGGCAAGCAGTATGCCTTTAAAAAAAATTCTTGGAATAACCGTCAAAATTCCATACATCAGGAATTTTCAACTCACCAAGATTTATTAATTTTTAGCATCATTAGTGGCTATTCAAGCAGAAAAGTACCTCCATCTTCCCTTTTTAAGAGCTCTGTGCTGGAAAGCCAGCAAACCTTTGAGAAGAGGGTGGAACAGTAATTTCTGGACGATAGTGCTCTTCCTGAGACTCCTGGCAGCTCTGTTTTCTTATCCCTTAGCTTTTTTTTTCCTTTTCAGTTAGAATTTCCCTTGAGCTTCCATCTCAGTTTCATTTAGTCCATTGCTAAGTTCTTTATTTGGCAGATGAAGCAACGGGTCTGACAATTTAAGAGTTAAGTGACTTAAGTAGAGTTATACAAGAGACGCTAGTGGAGGAGCAGGAACAGAGGGTAGCTAGTGAACTTGCTTTAGACGAGTTGAAATTGAGGTCATCGTGGGATATTTCCAGTAAAGAAATCTATAGGCAGTTGGGTATATGGGTTGAGCTCAGAAGACAGAGCTTCTTTGTGGATAGTTTAGCAAAGTGACTTTAAGTTCTTCTCCAAGAAGTAAGACCAAAGATTTTTACATTCTGTTCAGTGACATTTATAGTCGTTTATCATCTGCCTACAACGTGCAAAGTGTTGTTGTAGATGTATTGAGGGGGTGTTAGAATGAGTAAGGTAGTAAGCTTTCTAGAGGCTTATAACCAGGAGGGAGTCATACATGATCTTATCTTAAAGCATATGTGGGTAAATCCTAGAGGAGAAGTACAGCTAAAGGATGGGATTGCAAGGATGAAGGGAAGTATCACGTTCATTGGGAATATCTGGGAAAGCTTAAAGGTGGTGGATTTTGAGCTGATTCTTAAAGGATTGATAGAACTTGATCAGGCAGATAGAGGTAGAAGGGCATTCTGGAAAGTAAATAACCTTGAGCAAAGGCTTGGAATTGGAAGAAATGTAGTATTTATTTTGAGAATAGAAACTGACAATCATATGTTCTTGGGGCATCGCATTTGACAAGGTACAAAGTTTGAAAAAGTAGGTGGGGCTACATTAATTATACTTTGTAAGTTCTTCATCGGAGTATCTTAAATTCCAGAATCTCTCTCCCTTTCTGACATGACCACTTGGACATGCTGTGAGGCAAATTGTATATTCTTAAAACTTAATTGATAAATCCAGTAAAAGCTTGTTATGTACTCAACCTAAAAAAGGAGCCGTGTTATTCCTCCTCTCAATGTGATAGTTATGAAGGGATGTACTGACGTTACAATGATACAGACTCTGTTATCACTAGATTAGAAAATCCCACGTGACTAACAGGTGATTTCAGTTTCCTTTTAGCGTTTGATCTTAAAGGTTTACATGCCCTTTAATTATACTTGTTTTCAGTGAAGAAGAAATAAATATTTGCGGGATGAAGATTTTCCAGAAAGGACTTGGATTTAAAGAAGGCTTTTTATATTTGACAAGTAAGTCTGTATTTTATGTATGTTAAATTTGGTTGAAAAATGAAAGTTTGCTGGTTTTTACTTCTTCAAATATTTTCTTTGTCGCAAAGAGATCATATATAGTGGGCAAAGGTTACCTACTTTGGCTGGCAGCCAGGTAGCCACACAGCTGGGTTGACCTCTGAATGAAGTTGGATTGTAACTGTCCTATAAAGTCAGTGAGTGTCACAAGTTCTCTATGAAGTCACATTTTGGAGGTGGCGTTATTTCTCCTAAGGTGGTATTAGAACAGAGATCAACTGAAGGGATCAAGATGAACTATCCTTCATACAAGTTATACCACTATGTGGTTATTGAGAGAGCTGTGTGTTCTCTTTATGAGAGCTGCTATATATATCATCTTGCCATATAGTTTTCTTTCCATTTAGTGTTATGTTCTGCCTGACTAAATTAGGAGTATAAAAGTTTACATATCAGATGAGTCTAAAGGTGTAACTTGTTTTGTTGTGCTTCACTTTATTGTGCTTTGCAGATATCACATTTTTTACAAATTGAAGGTTTGTGGCAGCCCTGCGTTGAGCAAGCCTATCGGCACCATTTTTCCAGCAGCGTTAGCTCACTTCATGTCTCTCTGTCACATTTGGTAATTCTCACAATATTTCAAACTTTTTCATTGCTGCTATATTTGTTATGGTGATCTGTGATCAGTGATCTTTGAAGGTACTATTGTAATTGTTTTGGGGCACCATGAGCCACATATAAGATGACCAGCTTAATCCGATAACTGTTGTGTGTTCTGACTGCTCCACAGACCAGTTGTTCCCCTCTCTCTCTCCCTCTTCTTGGCCCTCCCTGTTCTCTAAGACACAACAATAATGAAATTAGGCCAATTAATAACCCTACGGTGGCCTCGAAGTGTTCAAGTGAAAGGAAGAGTCGCACATCTCTCACCTTAAATCAAAAGCTAGAAATGATTAAGCTTAGTGAGAAAGGTATGTTGAAAGCTAGGCCTCTTGTGCCAAATAGTTAGGCAAGTTGTGAATGCAAAGGAAAAGTTCTTGAAGGAAATTAAAAGTGCAGCTCTAGTGAACACACGAGTGATAAGAAAACAAAACAGCCTTATTGTTGATATGGAGGAAGTTTTAGTGGTCTGGATAGAGGATCAAATCAGCTACAACATTCCTATAAGCCAAAGCCTAATCCAGAGCAAGGCTCTAAGTCTCTTCAATTCTATGAGGGCTGAGAGAGGTGAGGAAGCTGCAGAAGTAAAGTCTGAAGCCAGCAGAGGTTGGTTCGTGAAGTTTAAGGAAAGAAGCTGTCTCCACAACATAAAAGTGCAAGGGGAAGCAGCAAGTGCTGATGTAGAAGCTGCAGCTGGTTATCCAGAAGATCTAGCTGAGATCATTGATGAAAGTGGCTACATTGACCAACAGATTTTCAAGGTAGATAAAACAGCCTTCTTTTGGAAGAAGATGCCACCTAGGACTTTCATAGCTAGAGAGGAGAAGTCAGTGCCTGGCTTCAAAGCTTCAAAGGGCAGGCTGACTCTCTTGTTAGGGGCTAATGCAGCTGGTGACTTTAAGTTGAAGCCGTTGGTCATTTAGCATTCCGAAAATGCTAGGGCCCTTAAGAATGATATTAAATCTGTTCTGCCTGCGGTCTATAAATGAAACAACAAGTCTAGATGACAGCATATCTGTTTACAACATGGTTTGCTGAATATTTTAAGCCCACAGTTGAGACCTACTGCTCAGAAAAAAGATTCCTTTCAAAATATGACTGCTCATTGACATGCACCTGGTTATCCAAAAGATCTGTTGGAGATTTACAACAAGATGAATTTTCTTTTCATGCCCGCTAACACACCATCCATTCTGCAGCCCACAGATCAAGGAGTGATTTAAACATTTAAGTTTTATTATTTAGGAAATACATTTTGTAAGGTCATAGCTGTCAGAGATAGTGATTCCTATGGTGGATCTGGGCAAAATAAATTGAAAACCTTCTGGAAAGGATTCACCATTCTAGATGCCATTAAGAATATTTGTGATGCATGGGAAGAAGTCCAAATATTAACATTAACAGAAGTTTGGAAGAAGTTGATTCCAACCCTCATGGATGACTTCAAGGGGTTCAAGACTTCAGTGGGGGAAGTAACTGCAGATGTGGTGGAAATAGCAAGAGAACTAGAATTAGAAGAGGAGCCCGAAGATGTGATGGAATTGCGGCAATCTCATGATGAAGTTTTAGTGGATGAGGAGTTGCTTCTTATGGATGAACAAAGAAAGTGGTTTCTTGAAATAAAATCTACGCCTGTTGAAGATGTGAAGATTGTTGAAATGACAGCAAAGAATGTAGAATATTATATAACTTAGTGATAAATGAGCGACAGGGTTTGAGAGGATTGACTCCAATT